CCTTAAACTTTTAATCTGTGTGCAAGAAATGATTTAATAAACACAGGAGGTTATCTCCATTCTTTGCAGACAGCCTGCCACTTAATGTTGTGAAAAACATTAAAAAGCCAGAGGCAAAATGTACATGAAGAGAAACAGGTTAAGTTCAAGGGGGAGGGGGGACAGCCAGAACCAAGCCTAAGCTAAGGCCGAGTATTCATAATAATAAGTCTCTGTGACATGATTTGGGAGCTGGTTGGTGTCCCCCCCCCAAAAAAAGGCTGGTACAACTTAATGTAAGAGAGTTGAGCATCTTTAAAGTTGATTGATATTCATGGATTCTGGGACCAATTTCCCATGGAAACCAATATAATAGTAATATAATAGTCAAGCCTTAAGAGACTTTTATTTTGAAGAAGCACATATATATACAACCTTTGAGTAGAAACTATGCAAGGAAAGAAATATCCTTCCTTGGGCATTTTCCTTTACTGCTGAGGCTTACTGGGTAATGGGGTGCAAATGATGGATGAGTTAGTAAATGAATGAACAAATGAACATGGTCTTTCCAGCTGAGCTCCCCAGCATGACTGAAGTCTTCACTATAAGTCCATTTCACAGGAAGGACTGACTGATAGAAAGGACAAGCATCGCTCTTGGGTTGTGGAGAGCATCAGAAGAGTGGAGACTGCATCTTCTAGAGCAGGAAGACCTCGGGCAGTTACTTACTCTTATCTGTGTAAGTCTTTCCCTAGAAAACACCTATTTATCACTTTTTTAAAAAATGGACAAGGATAGTTTCCCCTCAGAATTCTCTCTGCACCTGAGGGAACGTGGAATTCTGCATGCCTGACACCTTCCTTGCTGCAAAGTTGAGGAAACTGGGGCACAAAGAAATGCAGTTATCTCGTCATTGTCGCTGTGTGCAGCAGGAAACTTGACTCCCTGGGGTTACCACATAGAAATATGGTGTTCTTAGGCCCCTGGTGGACCAGTGGTCATCTACAAGTAGAAGTAACCAGAAATGATGGCTCAGCCATAAATACTGTGGGAATAGGTGTTCTTGGCTAAAAGATGAAATGTCCAGAGATTTCAGAAGCACCGCCGCACTACCTACGCAGAGGACTTCATGGTTGGTAAGGCCCTGTCCTCATGAAGTGAAGCAGGTTCCAAGCCAAACTGTGGTCCTGCATTGTGCTGGCTAATTTCATGTCAACTTTATGCAAGCTAGAGTCATCTGAGGAGTTAATTGAGAAAATGTCCCCAGGAGCCTATAAGGCATTTTCTTAATTAGTGATCGATGTAAGAGGGCTCTGCCCACTGTGGGTGGGGCCACCCCTAGGCTGGTGGTCCTGGGTTCTATGAGAAAGCGGGCTGAGCAAGCCAGGGGAAGCAAACCAGTAAGCAGGCAAACCAGTAAGCAGCGACCCTCCGTGGCCTCTGCATCAGCTCCTGCCTCCAGGTTCCTGCTTTGCTGAATGCAGTTGCTGTCCTGACATCCTTTGATGATGAATAGCGCTGTGGAAGTATAAACCAAGCTTCTCCCCAAGTTTCTTTGATCATGGTGTTTCATCACAGCAACAGTAACCCTAACTAAGAAAAGGGATATATACAATTGTGCTCTCCACTGACCCCCCCAAAAGGAAGCTTTCCACTGAACCATGCTCATCAAGTATGCAACTGTTGCTCACCCCCACTCAATTCTCCGTTCTCTGAGAATGCCTATCGCACCCACCTTGTGTTTCTAGTACACTTAGTAATGTACAATAAATGCCACAGAATGACTCAACAATTCATCAACCAAAGACTAGTTCCCTCAAGGGATTGCCAGATAATAAGCTCTAGTTGTGAAACCAGAGGGATCAGGCTTCTGTGATCAGCCAATCCCACAAGAGGTAGCTATGATGCTGTGGGAAAGAGCCACAGTCAGTCAGACCCCAGGGGCCTGAGAGCAACAAATACCCCTGTGGCCTGAACTTGGACAATATCTCCTCACTCTTAGACTATGTGCTTAAACTGTAGTAAGGAATGAAATACAATAAATCTGAGACCTCTTCCCATGCTCTATAATTTTTCTAAGATTTTTTTTAATTATGGGGGTTCATGTGTGAGTACATATGTCTGTAAAAGCCAAAGAAGATGTCAGATCTTTTAGAACTAGAGTGACAGGTAGATGTGAGCCAATATGGGTGCTACAAACTGGACTTGGGTCTTCTGCAAGAACAGTGCCTGTTTATAACCACTGAGCTATCTATCTAGTCTCCCAAATTTTTATGTCTTTGAAATATGTAAGAAAGGGGAGTTTAAGGGGACATTTGAAATCGCACTCTGCCCGCGTGTCTTTCATTTATATATTCATCTATTTGTTTCTGTGGTACTGGGGTGGAGCTAGGCCTTCACACACGATAGGCAATGCTGTACTACAGAGAAACATACTTGGCCCTGGCTAGAACCTCTTGATCTTTGAATGGGCTCTAAAATGATAGTTCAGGACAGAGTGTTAAGTTAGGTTTATTGAGGATAAGCCAAACACTTCTTCCCACTACATCCCAGTAGACCCATTTCTCCTAATACAATATATTCACTTCCCACGACAAGGATGCTCAGGTTAGGAAATCCTTCCATAGGAGTAGTTGGGTGAGTATGAGTGAAGCCTTTGATCACAAAAGTACCCAGAGCAGAGCTGCCGGTGGTATGCAGAGGCCCTGAGCCAAAACTGCTGGAGGGGGACATTCCCACCCCCATTTTCAACCCCTATTCACTCAGAGAATAGTCACAGAGGCAGAGCAACAGCTGCGAGAGTCTGAGGCAACTGCAAACAAGGTACGCTGACTCCAAAGCCACGGAAGCCCTCACCACTGAGCCACTGGCTCATTTACTATCTGACAAGAGCACTCGGTTAGAGGGTGAGTTTCCACAAGGAGACCAAATCATGATTTTCCTTTTTGCTCCTTGGGCTGCTTTTAAATGAAGTCTCATCTGTCACCTATGACCACAGAATAGGGAGAACAGCTCTACTCCTTCCTTCCAGAGCCTCTGTGAGAACTCAAGCACAGAAGTCCGATCAACTAATGCACAGCAAACATCCAGCCTGTCGCCAGTAATACAGAGGGGCGGGTGGTAGATAAACCCACCTCAAGTCAGAAATCTAACCCTAGGCTTCAAAATCCTTCAGAGTCAAAGAGGGCTGAGCTTCTGCACTGGAGCAGTAATGGAATCCTGGGACAGCAGCCTGGATGCTTTCCAGAAGGCAAAGTAAAGCTGCACCTGAACTTGGGAAGAGGGGGCCAGGTCTGCTCAGGGATGCGGGATAGAGGCCTGGGTCTCAGGAGAGGTTGCTAGCTCCCTGTGAGGGCAGAAGCTTGCAGGTATATGTGGGATGAAACCAGGCAACAGTCTCAAGATGAACCTCCCCAGAGGAAGGAGGAGAAAAAATGACAACCCCAGAGCAGTACATAGAGGTATGCTTCTCACCCTGCAGACTGCAAAAATTAAGGGACAGATCTGAGGTTTGCAGGGGGTGGGCAAACAGGAACCCTGGTACCCAGTTGACAAGCAGAACTGTGCTCCAAGTGAGCTGGTCATGTCTGTTAGACCCTTAAGTGTGTATGCAGGGTGACCCAGCAGCTCTTCTCCTTGGTAGCCATGAAGAACCATTAGCTTGTGTGCCCAAGGGAAGATACGCCGGTACACACCACAAAACCCAAAGCCAGTCTAACCACCATGAGCTGGCTCAGCAATCAGTGAGATGGAAGCTCCTCGTACTTGCTGTGGTGTGAAAACCACAGAGATCCACACAGGCTGCCTCAAAAACATCACAGGATACATCACTAAATTCTTTAAAAGATTATAAAACAGCCAGCCAGAATAACATGCATTTTAAAAAGCAGAAATGGCTGGGTGGTGTTGGTGCATGCCTTTACTCCCAGCACTCAGGAGGCAGAGGCAAGTGGATCTCTGTGAGTTCGAGGCCAGCCTGGTCTACAAAGCTACACAGAGAAACCCTGTATCAGAAAACAAACAAACAAACAAACAAATTAATTAAAAAGCAGAAATGGGGGGGGGGCTGAGGAGGTGGATCCATGGGTTAAACAGTTTGCTGCCAAAATGTGAGGATGCCAGTTTGGATCCCCAGAACCCACATACATGCCAAGTAGGCATGGTGGTCCACCTATAATCTCTACACATGGGAGGCTGAGACAGGATTTCCTGGAGCAAGCTGGCTAGAAAGACTTGGTGAACCTACAAGGTCTAGGTTTAAATGAGAGACCCTGCCCTTAGTAAATAAGGCAAAGAGAGATCAAAGAAGACATCTGACTTTAGCCTCTAGCTACTACATGCATGAGTACATACACACACACACACACACACACACACACACACACACACACACCACCACCACCACCACCAACAACAACAACAACAACAACAAAGGAGAAAAAACGAAAGAATAACCTTCCTTCTATATAGCTCAAAAGCCAGAGAAAGTTCTGTAGGAAATAGACATATTGTGTAAAGCATAAACACAGTTTAAAAATTTTAATTGCTAAAATTAAATTAAAAAGTTGTTCTTAAGAAAAGATTAAATAAGACAGGGAGGAAAAAATGGCACAAAAGAGTTCAGGGTCCATCCCTGCTCGCTCTTGAAAAACCAATCATTCATAAGCACCTGTTCTGGTCTGTTTTGGGGATGAATAGCCACAGTTTTGAACTGAGACACTTAATTTTACACTACATCGTTTCTATTGATCCCAATTCTTCTGGGGTTTAGAAAAATTTCTTCGTATTTAACAATGGTTTCTCTCTGGTGAAACAAACTGTACATGTAAAAAGAGATGTGTGTTTGGTGGGCAGAGGATCAAACCCAGAGCCTGATGCACGCTGGGAAAACACTCTACCACCAAGCTCCTCATCTAGCCCCATATAACCTCTGGACTCTCCAGGGAATCTACCAGCACAAACAGGCATGAAGGAATTTGATGCACTGAATCATTGCATGACATTTTTTCCTTAATTGTTACCTTTCCTTGTTTTCTTCCATTCCTCTATAAATGCACTGATTCATTACTGTGAATCTGTAGACTCAGAGTTCCAGGCCCAGATTTTATTTCCTAAAAGACAAAATGACGAAGGGAATGGATTAGAATGAAGCACAATAACATACATATAAAATGCTACAATGAAGACGGGCGGGGATGGCGCACACCTTTAATCCTGGCACTCAGGAGGCAAAGGCAGGCAGATCTCTGTGAATTCGAAACCAGCCTGGTCTACAAGAGCTAGTTCCAGGACAGGTTCCAAAGCCACAGAGAAATCCTGTCTCAAAAAGCAAAACATTAGTGTGTGTGTGTGTGTGTGTGTGTGTGTGTGTGTGTGTGTGTGTGCATGTGTGTGTACATTCACATATATGTATATATACATAGTAACTTTAATGAATTAAATAAGTAAAGTGGCCATACAAATAAACACACCAAGAGGGCCATATTAGAATATGCCAAAGGCTACCCAGCATCCCCCAAATCATCCTTTCTTCCACAATACCAGGTTCAGCATCCATAAGTCAAAATATCCAAAAATGCTTCAAAATCTGAAACTTTCTAAGCCCCAACAATTCCACAATTAAATAATTCTAGACCACAAAACATTATCTTATTAACAAAATTAGTTTAAAATATTGCATAAAGCTAATTTGGGGCTATGTTCATAAGGTATATATGAAAGATAAATCCTATGTTTAGACTTGAGTCCCTCTCCAAGATATCTCATTATAGATATGCAGATCTTCCACAACCTGGGAGGGGGGGAAGCTGAAGCATCCTGGTTTCTGATGAGGAATAATATATCTGAGTTCTCAGTCACTAATTTCCAGGATTCCCCATTGTATATTCTATGAGACTCTTGGGCAGGGCCCCTGGTACAGGATGAGAAACATATATGACATCTAAAGCTATCAGAAAATGACTCCTTAGAATAGTAAAGGCTTCCTAATTGCATATGATGCCACATGGAAGATCCAAGTTGAAGTTCTCAGGAATAGCCAAGGCTTAGGAGCAGAAGAAGGAAGAGCCAAGGGAGAGCTAAAGAAAATATCCAAGGTGCCCCAAAGGGTCCCTCCTCTTCCTCACTGTAGGAGCATCTGCCCCATTGGGAGCATGAGCCACACTCCTAAGTTCCAAGTTCAGCTGTGGCTAAGGCATTCCTCACCAAAAAGGCTGTGGTTAACATCACAGGATAGATTATCTTCATAGGCATGCCTCCAAACCCCAACCCAACACTTCATTTGGTGTTACACAAAACAAACAAACAAACAAACAAAAAAACCAGACAGTTACCACTCTAGGAAATCATTCTTAGGTAGAACATATTGACCTCTAAGACAGAGATCGAGGATGGTTCTAGGCACCATGGTTGGTTAAATGGCTGCTATGTGTATGCCAAGCATTGCTGCTCCAACCACCTTGACCACTGGTCCTCAAAGACCTGCTTGGCAGTGTCTCTGGCCTATCGTCCCCCATCTGCTCCATGTGGGTCTGGCCTTCTCCCAGGCTAAAGCACTATCCAGTTAATTCTGATCTAGGTGAGAAGGACCAGATTCCTAGAACGCCTGCCCCCATCCAGAGAAATGGGACCAGGCCAGTGCTGGGGAGATTCTCCAGCCCCTGCTTCCAACACTGCTCTTTCATTTAACTTGCAGAGATCAGACTAGGAGATATTTTTAGCACCTGGGTCCCTGTCTAGGGCCACTGATCTGGCTTTCATCAGAGCTGACTTCATCAGCTGCTGCTTGTGCATTCTGGGGTGTGGGGCAGGAATAAGGAGTCATTGGATCCTAGAAAAGGAGAAGGGGGCAAGAAGTGCCAGCGGGCAGCACAGTTGTAAAGCAGGAGGGAAGGAAGTATTATCAGCGCATGTGGGGTTACTCTATGGCTAGAGGTGTCTCAGCCCACCTCCCTCCAGCCTGGAGGCCAAGATTGCTCTTCTGCATGCAACATAGTTAGTCACTGGAGCATAGGACTTTCCCCAGAGAGGGGACAACAGTACTCTCCTCACAATTCCCGCCCTCAAGGACCTGTGAGAGGGCACCTGGGAGAAGTGGCTAGCTTGACCCAGGATTGTACAGTGTTCTGTTGCTTTGAGGGTCTCATGTAACCAACTTACTGTGTAGCTGGTAGAACCATGGACTTCTGAACCTCTGGTCCTTAATTCTCAGATGTTCATATTACAAAAATACACCAGCAAGCCATCTAGAAGCAACTGTGCCTCAGCTTGTACCTGAGGGTAGTGCAGCAGTGTGTCCCCGCACTGAGGGGGTCAAGGGCCAGGTTCTGGCATGGAAGATGTCAAGGAAGTAGGGAGGTACTGCTACTGCTCACCCCAGGAATCCAGAAATGAGGAGCTGGCAATGTTGCTCAGTGGTAGAGGGTCTACTTAGCACCCATAAGATGAGCACCCCTGTCCCCTACCCCCCAAAAGTTAAGAAACTGGTCACAAGGAAGACCTAGAAATGGTCACCCAGACTACAGATCATAGATTACAAATAACGAGCAGGCACATGACCTTAGGAGTCTGCAATCCTCACCACTGTATTACAGGTATTGTATAGCTTGATCATGAATGAATGAATGAATGAATGGACAGACTCCAGGATTACCAATTCCTGTAAAACTTACCCCACTTCACTTCATGCCCTTGTTGGTAATGAAGGCAGCCTCCACTGCCTGTCTTTGCCTGTTTAAGGCAGTAATCTTGAGTCTCATGGCACCCATATGCAGCCCCAGGGGAGCCAGGACCACAGACAGAGGGTATATGCAGAGCTCCAGGAGGTTGAGACCTGCTCTTGGGCACAGCACTCAGGTGACCTCACTTCTCATACTGACCAGCTGACTAGCTAACACAGGCCAAGACTTTTCCCCACCACTCACTCGCCTTGGTCAATCAGATCCGTCCAAAGGTGAGATCAGTACTGTTTCAACTCTTCAGATGGAAAGTTCTCAGTTCATCACCAATCATCCAGCCCAGATACTTCCCTGGAAGAGCTCTCATTCTCCAGTTAGAGACTAGCATGACCACACCTTCATTCCTCCCCTCAGCTGGCTGCAATCATAACTCACTGGCCATTTTCTGAGCACTGACCTCCTATGCATATGGTACCAATGTGTCCACTGGCCAGCCATGGGGTCCTGCTGTTTTGTCATTTACAATGTCTACTCCCAGAGGGCACAGAGTGCTGGTGAGAAATGCAAAGTAACTCATATTGTTATTCTTGGAGCATCTCAGGAGACTGTGGCAACTTCTAGTCCCTGTATACACACGGTACAAGATATGTTCTAGAACGTTCTCAGTAGCACTAATTTTCCATTGCTGTTGCTATACAACCTCAAAACAAATGTATCTCTTGACATGGGTCAACAGGACAGTCCTCCTTCTAGGAACATAAGAGGAAATGTGTTTCTCTCCAATTTCCTGGCTCCCAGAGGCTGTTCTGTGTCCTTGGCTAAGTCTCTTTCTCCATCTACAGAGCCAACAATGAGGCATCTCCAGATTTCACTATTCCCTCAGCTCTAAGGGTCACATCTCAATCTTGAACACTTCCTTCCTACAACTTCCCTCTGTCACTGGACCAATATTTGTCCCTCTAGAATAACTCAGGACGATTTGCCCCATGGGAAGACCCTTCTAACAAGGTCACACAGTGTCAAGTATTACAGTTGAGTGGGACCCGTGTCCTGCTAGGTCAAAGGCATCTCTTAGAGCAATGTTTCTCAACCTTCCTACTGCTGCTACATTTTAATGCAGTTCCTCGTATTGTGGTGACCCCCAACCACAGAATTATTTTTGTTGCTATTTCATAACTGTTAATTTGCTACTGTTATGAATCATAATGTAAATATCTGATATGCAAATGGTCTTAGGTGACCCCAAAGGGGTCATGACCCATAGGTGAGAACTGTTTTATCAAGAAGCAAATTAACCATGTGCAACAATATGAGACAACTCCTGCACAAGCCTGTTTTCAGAAAGTCAGAGATGGTGTCAACTATTCCAACCTCTTGGTCATCATGTCAGTGGTCGGAGGAGTAGACAATGTCTGGAAAGGGGCACAGGTTGGCCCTGGGAACTTCTGGAAAACATATGTTTCTCTCTCTCTCTCTCTCTCTCTCTCTCTCTCTCTCTCTCTCTCTCTCTCTGTATATTTTGCTTTTTTTGGTTTGTTCAGACAAGGTCTCTGTAGCCCACACTGGATGTAAACTCATTATGTAACCCAGACTGAACTTGAACTCACAGCAATCCTCCTGCCCCACACTCCCAAGTTCTTAGTTACAATGGCATAGACTTGGAACCTAGCCATTTTAAAGGCTGAAGCAGCAGGACCTTGAGTTCTGGCCTGTAGTTAGCAAGACCTTGTCTCCAAAGGGGAGGAAAGGGAAGGGGAAGGAAAAAAACCTCAATGCTATCTGTTTGTAGAGCACACTTGGTTTCATAAATACAGTTATAAATCAAGACTCTTCCTCAAGTGTGATCTCTTCATTTTGACGTCTCAGAAAGGGACCACACCCTCCAGAGAGACTTGCAAAGCTCCTGGGTCCTCTGCTAGGCACTTTATAAAAACTTATCAGCAACCAACAGTAAGGGTTTGTCCTCCAGGCTTTTATTGAAGAGTAGAATGAGAACTGGATACATTTTTCCCTGTTGTCTACCCACCTCAGGCCTAGACCCAAAGTTAGAGATAAAGGGCAATTGAACAATTTGAGCTGGACCACAAGGTCCTAATCCATCTGCCCCAGATGACCTCACCTCCCCAACAGCCAAGAAGGATGACCCAGGGTCCTTGTCTAAAAGCAAGGTCATATCCCTCCAGGACAGCCATGGTTACTATACTGAAGCAGAGATAACACATTATACCCATGGCTGTCTGTCACAGAGCGCACAGTGGCCAGCAATGCTAGGTATTCTTGTCCATCAAGACCTGCTTACAGCTAGTTACTAAATACCACCCTGGGCCACAGGGACCCAGCAGAGTAACTGTGGCAGGATGGTATTCTATCCAAGTATCCATTGGCCATCTTTGGATCTCCCACAATGGTCTGAAGCATCTCCATGAATACACACA